TAGAAGGGCCTCCGGTCGTACGACTGGGGGTGGCCTGTAAAAGGGCCAGCAGTGGTGAGTAAGCAGGCAAAGAAATAAGAAATTAAATCCCAAATAAACCCCCTAGCTAGTAAAGTCTCCAACATACCCTAGAACCGATAACATTCGTCATAAAATAATGACATAATGACACTTAACACACACCAAGATCACCCCGAAATGGCGAAAGCCTTGCCGAGAACTTTTCCTGGCAAAACTGTTCCCTTAGTAATCTCTCCAGGAGATGGAAGTAAGTCCGGATCATCAACGAACAATGCATTGTTAAATGTGGGTAAAAGATTTGTAAGATGCATGACTGGATGAATTACAGCTGTTCCATGTAGGCTGTCATGAACAGAGCCCTTTCTCAAAAACTGTTCTGCACCAGGAGGGGATCGAACCGTTCCTTTTCATGTTCGGACACAATATGTTACCACTACACCACCGGTTCTTGTGCTCCAAGTTCAGCCTGGCAGCAAATCTACTGTGTATCTGCTTTTCAAGGCAAGACACCCCTTTCTTTTATTCCTTTTTTTTCTTTGTGGTAGTTTCTTAGCCGGCTTTTCGCGGATTTTCTGCGACATAGGCCGAGATGAGTGTAAAAGTAACTGGAAAAATGGACGTACCGCCAGAAAGCCAATGGCATCACTGGGATGCGAACGCACAAGCGAAAGTATAATTATGTCATTCTCTTCGCCCTGGTAATTATCCACTGTTTCCACAAGCGGGTAATGCATACCAAATTCCTTCACTGCTTCTTCTCTAACATAAGCCGCCTGTGCTGCATACGAACACAGCAAAGTTATCTAAAAACATGCAAGCTAGAATTTTTTCATTCCAAAAAATGTGTTTATCGTCAAAGCTAAAAGTTTTGTGTAACAATTCGGCCAAGCCTAAAAGAGACATCGGCAATACTAAAAAAATTCTGCAGTATATTAAAGCCAAAATTTTTTCCGCACTCGTTTTCGAAGCACTGGAGACATTCGGAAGGAGCTTGTGTCTAGTATGTGCTAATCAACCACTGATATGACTGTCGATGGTTCCCTCGTTTGAAAATTGGTTAGGGGCTTGCTGTTATCAGTTTTTATTTTTCACGATATTCCAGCCAAATTATAATCAAAACGACTTTGAACGAAACATGGAAGAAGTAGTGTGTAACGACTTTTACGAGACTTTTTAGGTTTGGGACAAAATTTCGAGAAAAAAACCATATCAATGTCAGGTTAGAGGATTCACACGCTTCACTCACCTCTTCCTCTCCTCCAAGCCTGAACTTCCTTTGCGCCACGGCGCTCGCTACTGGCCAATATAACGTTAAAATATCAGCTTTTTGTTTGAAAAACAAACACACCTGTGAACTGCTGTATCCCTGTTTCATAAAATATGTCGATAATTTTACTGCGAAATCACCCTCGAAACAATTTTTGTGCGATGTTGATGAGATCATGGAATCTTC